ATATCAACCCCGTGTCCAAAAAAACAACAACATTGAGGCATCAATGAGGGAATCGGTAGTTTCATATAATAACCGGTTTATTTGTTATAAGTCGATATTACTAGTAATACATGTAATCATACATATACTGGTACATCTTTTAATGAATATTTCAAACATTATGTTTACCATTTAAGTAGTAATTTTATATTGATACCAGAATCTTCAATATATGGATCCAAGTAAGTCATGTATCGAACCAGAATGCTATTATATGAAAACCGAATTAATCAATATATTAAATCAATTTTACAATATATGAAACCAGTTTATTCAATATATGTAACCGAAGTAGCAAGTATAAAAGTTGATTTTCACATTATATGATACCAGTTCTTCAATATATGATACCAAAGTAGCAATATATTGAACCAAAATGTCATTATACTGACGGGACTTTTTTACAGGCTGTTATTCTATCCTTTGCACCGTATTACAGTCCTTGTTTAAAGAACATCGTGCTTCACTGACTGCATACTGACTGCATACTATAAGGAAATATTTTGAAATTAACGTCACATTCACTTTAAAATGGGCTGGGCAGGCAAAACTTATCGTTATATATGTAGGAGTTGTATGTCATAATTTAAGCTATTGAGTCGTACAGACCATTAAACAAAAACATATTTAAAAATAAGTTACATCTTCGACCTTTACCTTTGATCAAAAATAGGCAGTGCCAGAAGGACACATCAAGGTTAATCTACTGACAAAGTTAAAAAATAACTTGTCAAATAATAATTGATTTCATGAAAAAGTTTTATGCATTGTAATAACAGAACCCAGTGACCTCGGTCTTTGACTTGTTGACTTGAAAATAGGCTATTTTGGTTCCATATAATGACAATTGCTATCATAGAATGTAACATCAACTTATATACTAGCTGCTACTTTGGTTCGATACATTAATAAAATGGTTCCATATGTTGTAAAAATGACTTAATATAATGATAATTCGGTTTCATATAAGGGCATATCTGGAATATCTGGTATCATATAATGTGACAATCAACTTATATATATGATACTTCGGCTCCAAACATTGATAAAATGGTTTCATATATTGTAAAAAATGAATTAATATGTGATTAATTCGGTTTCATATAAGGACACCTCGTTACATATATTGTTACTTTGTTCCATATATTGAATAATTTGTATCATATATTGTAATAACCAACTCATATATTGATACTTTGGTTCCATACATTGATAAAATGGTTTCATATATTGTAAAAATGAATAAATATATTGATAATTTGGTTTCATATAAGAACACCTTGTTCCATACGTTGTTACTTTGGTTCCACATATTGAATTATTGGAATCATATATTGTAATAACCAACTCATATATTGCTACTTTGGTTCCATACATTGATAAAATGGTTTCATATATTGTAAAAATGATTTAATATATTGATAATTTGGTTTCATAGAAGGACACCTGGTTTCATACATTGCTACTTTGGTTCCATATATTGAATAATTTGTATAACCAACTCATATATTGCTACTTTGGTTCCATTCATTTTTTTCTTTAGATATATCGTTTAAATAACAATAATTATCTTTAAAACTTCATTAAATGCCGTTTTATTGTTAAAAAAAACATTTTTACAACATTAAAATTTTTGGCTGCTAGGCCGCCAGGCCGCTGGGCCGCCAACTTCACAAAATGACAAACTTAAAAAAATCTCTGAAAGTGATTTTTTCTTTATATATATCGTTTAAATAACAATAATTATCTTTAAAACTTCATTAAATGCCGTTTTATTGTTAAAAAAACATTTTTACAACAATTAAAATTTTTGGCTGCTAGGCCGCCAGGCCGCTGGGCCGCCAACTTCACAAAAATGACAAAATTAAAAAAATCTCTGAAAGTGATTTTTTCTTTAGATATATCGTTTAAATAACAATAATTATCTTTAAAACTTCATTAAATGCCGTTTTATTGTTAAAAAAACATTTTTACAACATTAAAATTTTTGGCTGCTAGGCCGCCAGGCCGCTAGGCCGCCAACTTCACAAAAATGACAAACTTAAAAAAATCTCTGAAAGTGATTTTTTCTTTAGATATATCGTTTAAATAACAATAATTATCTTTAAAACTTCATTAAATGCCGTTTTATTGTTAAAAAAACATTTTTACAACATTAAAATTTTTGGCTGCTAGGCCGCCAGGCCGCTGGGCCGCCAACTTCACAAAAATGACAAACTTAAAAAAATCTCTGAAAGTGATTTTTTCTTTAGATATATCGTTTAAATAACAATAATTATCTTTAAAACTTCATTAAATGCCGTTTTATTGTTAAAAAACATTTTTACAACATTAAAATTTTTGGCTGCTAGGCCGCCAGGCCGCTGGGCCGCCAACTTCACAAAAATGACAAACTTAAAAAAATCTCTGAAAGTGATTTTTCTTTAGATATATCGTTTAAATAACAATAATTATCTTTAAAACTTCATTAAATGCCGTTTTATTGTTAAAAAAAACATTTTACAACATTAAAATTTTTGGCTGCTAGGCCGCCAGGCCGCTGGGCCGCCAACTTCACAAAAATGACAAACTTAAAAAAATCTCTGAAAGTGATTTTTTCTTTAGATATATCGTTTAAATAACAATAATTATCTTTAAAACTTCATTAAATGCCGTTTTATTGTTAAAAAAACATTTTTACAACATTAAAATTTTTGGCTGCTAGGCCGCCAGGCCGCTGGGCCTCCAACTTCACAAAAATGACAAAATTAAAAAAATCTCTGAAAGTGATTTTGTCTTTAGATATATCGTTTAAATAACAATAATTATCTTTAAAACTTCATTAAATGCCGTTCTATTGTTAAAAAAACATTTTTACAACATTAAAATTTTTGGCCGCCAGGCCGCTGGGCCGCCAACTTCACGCCGCTAGGCCGCTGGGCCGCTGGGCCGCCAACTTCACGCCGCTAGGCCGCTGGGCCGCCAACTTCACGCCGCCAGGCCGCTAGGCCGCCAACTTCACGCCGCCAGGCCGCCAGGCCGCTAGGCCGCCAACTTCACACATCTCAATTCCAAACACATCTGTGCATTATATTATCATATAAGAACAGCGCATACGGACTCTCATTTCCAATTCGTATAAAATATTGTCGGAAAATTGCAGCCAATGAATATGCTATATCAAAGAAAACCCATGTATATCGTGTACACAAAAGACATCTATAACTTACCACTAGCATACCGATCCCAATTAAAAACATTGACCCACCTGTAAACTTCCAGCTGAAACAGATAAATATTCTGAGAATTTCCATTGTTCATCATAACCACCATAATCATTATCAACATTATCAGGATAATTATATTTACTTTTACTCTGATGATAACAGAAAACTAAAAGTTTCTTAAAGGCCCGTGATGCCTCAAAAGTGCTATCATTTTTGTTCCTCAAAAACATTTTTATTGTTGGCATATCTTGTCACAGTTTTCAAAAATTATTCATTTGGCATATACGTTTTGCATTTAGATCTAACCTCGGCTCATGCGTTCAATTTGAAAATTCGCTTAAACGATATTATACTCCAAAAATACGGAATAGAAATAGAACAGGCTTTTGGTGGATGAGGATATGTTAATAAAGAACCTTTAGAGCGATACAAATGTTTAGAAGTCTGCTTGGATGTCAAGTTATTGGCTATCAAAATGCGATTTTACCAATTTTGTGACTTTTCTTGCGCAGTTGTCGATAATGATCTAATAAGTTAACAAAGATTTGGCGAGTTTGAGATGACTGTCGGATAAAGTAATCATACGAGATCAGAATAGGCTATAAAGTTTTGTGAAATATGCATTTTCAAAGAAATTGAAGACAATTTTCTTACCACAGTATCGGTTTTCAGGCGCGTAGCTAGCCTATAAAGAATGTGGATTCAAAATAATCTAGGGGGTCAGGGGGCATGCCCCCCTGAAAATTTTGAAATAAATGGTGCAATTAGGTGCATTTTGGGGCCTCCGGAGAGCTTTCTTGACCAACGAAAATCCATTTATTTTAGCATAAAAATGGAGATGAATAGCTTTACTTTTGTTTATTTCAACTAGTCTACATTTCACAGCAAGTCTAACTTGCGGCCTTTGCTGGCCGCAAACTCGTTAATGATAATATCAATGACGAGCGTTGTGTTTACCAGAAATGTTTTTTTCATAAAAATTCCATGTATCAATATAACTTATCTACCAAGAAGGAACTATTTCAAAAATGCAGAGTAATACGACAAATGCACCAGAATTTTTCACATTTGCATCATGAATTCACTGATTCAGGTTGGTTAGTTCAAAATTTTGTCAGTCTCGCTAGAATCGGTTCACAGACATGGTCAAACATGTCATTACTCAACAAACAGACCGAAACAAATAAACACTAGGCATACATAGTAACATTTTAGTTATATAAATTACCTCTTTTCTATCGCTGATTCTGCTGATGACTTCTTTAAGAACTCGATGTAAACATTTGTTTACATTTCGAAAATACGGCGCGTGCAAACTTCCGACTTTGAAGAGCTGCAATTAATTTAAGGCCGACAACTTTTCAAAAAAATACTACGGTATGGTGTACGATTTAGGCTATATGATTTATAAAGTATTCAGTGTGGTAATTATCAGATCTGGCGAACGCGGCTGAATTTCAAACCACATTTTTTTTACTAAAAAAAATTTTTTTTGTCAAAATAATGTGGATTCAGCTGCGTACTCGCGTATAGGCAGCTACGCGCCTGGTTTTCCACCTGTAAAATTGATCTCTTCATGCGTTCTCCGCCTGGGAAACATAGTGAACGATTGGACTCGGTGACTCTGTTTAGTACATATTGAAATATAAAGCACAGTAAATATTGAAAACAAATTGTCATTCTGACTAATTTGAAATTTAGGCGCGTGCTAACGAGACTGGTTACCTGCGCTGTACAGTACAGTAGACCGGAAGTAATTAAACGGCGAAAAGGGTTTTCGAATTATTTTGTGAAATGCGATCTTCAGGTAGTTTTTGCATTTTTCCTTTGCTTCCTGTTACAATGCTTCCTTTTTTACACAAAAGATTAGGTGTTTTTGTTTCAACAAGTTATGAAATAATTTGCACTATAATATTTTCATGTTTTAGCCACAAATTTATGCGTTAAACTTCGTCATGTTCGTACTCAAATTAAAATGTACCTAAAGTTTTTCTGTTTCGACGTATATAGATATATATGATACACATGATTTTCGGATATTTGAAGATATATTTTTAGCAATGATGAAAATTATTTCGTTGTCGATTTATCATAGTTTATCAAAGTTTATCAGTTGATTATTAAACAGCAGTTAAAATATTGATAAGTTTAACTGTTTAAACTGCCAAAACAGATATTTAGTTACACGATATCTGAATTAAATCTGGATAATCAGTAAATTAGTAAAAAGAAAATGAAAGTAGAAATAGTTGCCAATATTGCACATTATTGCTAAATTGAAAAAAAAAAACAGCTGTTAGTGTGGAATTTATTTTTAAACCTGAGGTAAACTGTTTTTTACAGCAGATAAATAACAGGGAGAGCCCACTAACATACAATATCACTTTACTACAGTAGTGTTCAAAGCGTTTTGTACACAGAATTCTATGAGAAATTTACAGTTGATTATGACTTTTAATAACCTCTACCAAATTTAAAGTTCCCTTCAATTTGTAATTTTAGTTCAAAACAAATAAAAATGATGACTACAATGTATTTAGCTGTAATTTCAATTTAATTCTTTTCCATTTCAGTTTAATGATAGATGGTTGTAAAAGCTATGACTAGACACTAACTAAATGAAATCAAGATCATAGATGGAGGAATCCGCATAGTTTTACTTAATTAAGTAACAATGTCAGAGATATTTTTGCAAGAAGATGTGCTTTCCCTTCTGGACAACAGATTCATTGTTATTATTGGAGATTCTAGTAAGTATAGTAATTATGAAAGCAACTGCCAAATAAAATTCTTCATATTTAAACCCTTTACCTGCTGTTAACAAAAGTGATAAGCCAAATTTCAGCCAGTATATAAAGAGCCACTAGGCCAGGCACATGCTGGCCCAAGATTGTCATTAAAAATGTTTTTAGACTGTTTGTTTTTAATGTGAGGTGGTCATTTTGGCTTTATCACATACAATAAGAGTGTTTTCTAAGTTTTGAGGTGGACCAAAATACATTTGATGACACGAAACAGTCATTTTGGTCTACAGCTGCTTCCTAATGACAACCCTGAGTCTGGTATATTTTAATATTGAAATCCCTAAATTTTCAAATGGACACTTCCAAATTCAAAGCAGGTCAAATCCACTATAGATAAGCAAGTTATTGAAGGGTTCAAATCAATGTCAATTATATTGGTATATGCCTTTTTTCAGAAGTTCTGTCAATGAGAATTTAGAACTAGCTGTTTAAATTGGGATTTTTATGGACTCCAATTTTTGGAAAACTATCAAACGATGTAAGGTGAAAAAAAACACTGTTTACTTCTGATTGTTGATTAAATGTCCTGAAAGAAATAGTTTATCTTTGAGTGGCAGCATGATCAAGTGGTTAACACTACGGAATAGTGATCTAAGGATTGCTGACCGTGTAGGTTCAAACCCCATTAGGGGTAAGCCGTTGTTTCCTTGAGCAAGAAACTTTGCTTAGTACTGGTTGGTTCCAGGAACGGATTCGAGTCTGTTTCAATTAGCTTATAGCTTCCAAAACAATCAAACTAAAATAAATTCTTATAAACTAAATAGTTTATCTTGTATCCTTGTTAACAGTTCAGAGGGGCGTTTATAAAGACTTGGTTTTATTGCTCCAGAGGAATAAGTACCTGACGGACAAAGATCTTAGAGCTAAGGTATATGGATTATATTGTCGTTTTTTTTTATCTTCCTACATTGAAAGTACATAAACAGTGTTTATTCTAGGAGGGGGATGGGGGAATTCACCCCTATTTTTGAGAATTCCCCCCTATTTTATCAGAGGCAGGGGGAAAATTTTACATAGAGAAAGAAGGAAAAAAAATCAACAAATGTAATAAATTCTCACTTTTCGATTAAAATCCCCCCTGTTTTTCAAATCCTAGAATAGATACTGCATAAAATACATGCCTAAGAGCTTCCATTCTTTATGAAACTGCAAAATCAATATTTTTCATGGGGCACTAATTTTAAGGAATAGGTCAATCCAGGAATTGAGGATCCAACAAAACTTCATTTCATCTACTGTAAGATTATTTTGCATCACAATATTTACATTTTACCTTCTGGAAAAATAAACAGTCAACAAATTTAAGTACCTACGAAAATGTTGTTCGTGATAACTGATAAAACCACGAAATTTCATGTCCACAAAACTTAGTGAATTCTCAGTATGTTGGTCTTTCAAGTTGCAGTTTCAGGGGCTGAGTGGATAAGGTTGCCAATTCCCACACAACTGTGGGTTTGTATCTCGAAGGAAAATTGGAGATTATAAAAATCAAAAAGAAAGATCAAATATTGTATTCATGTATATGATTTTTAGTGGTTTTAAGAAAAACTAATTATAAATAATTATTCATAACATACAAATTTGTTTCATTTAATTTCAGTTTGGCAAAGTGAAAGATTCTTGAATTATTTCCTTAAGTATTTGATATTTGACAAGAAAAAAAATGTTACCTTTAGTTGTGTGGTGGTCTTTTAAACAAGTAACATGTGTATAAATTGGGATGGATATGAAAAATTTTTGATGACCTTATGCTGTGTCATTTATACATGTATTATGTTGTCTGCATTCAGTTTAGACTGTATGATAAAACAAGATTTGATGGGGTTTTTTTACAGGGTGAGTTTACATTTTCTGGTGATAAGTTGATTGAAGGTGGACAGTATGGTGAGATGACAAATGGTGTCAAGTACCGGGAAGTTCGACAGTACCAGACAGATTATCATTTGATCCGGTTCTATTTTGTTACACGTTGCTACAACTCGTATATAGAGTCCATACTGAGCGACTTGTCAAAGGAGCCTTTACCGGATGTGGTGATCGCAAATTCCTGTTTGTGGGATATCAGTAGGTTTGTATATGTTTAAGTTTTGTATTTTTAGCTCGACTATTATGCATCATCCTCATCGATCACAGTATTTATGTACATGTACTATACAATATTAATAAACAAGCAATCAACATTGGTTAAGTTTTAAGGTTTTTTAATTGATATGACACCTGTTACTGGTTTGTTCTTAAAGTGTTATAAATAAGCCAGTGTATTATTCAGGCCTTTTCCTAGCCATTTTGGGAAAAAGTACCTTGCCCAGTTTGGGAAATTTTGCATTGCAAAATTGCTAAAGTGAGAAAAATATTTGGTACGGTACTACCTTTTGAAACCTTCATGCTTCTCTTTCGACATAGTATTTTTAATTTTGCAAAACTATTTATTCCATTAGATCTACCGATGTAAATAGCATTCAAAGCATGAAATATACATTAAAATTTGACAATGAAATGTTTGGAAACATCTCGCTGATACCATACTGAAATGACTCCAGCAAATTTGTCAGTTCTGTTAACAAGAATTTCAGTTCAATTGGGATTTTTTTAAAGATTGGGAAAAAATAAGCATATTTGCCAATGTGGAATGGGTCTGGTAATCTGACCCTTGATGACACTCAGGGAAAAGGCATATTTTCTGTATGTATCGAGGTTGCCTTAAAATACAACAATAATATTCAGGTATGGTCCATCATCAGTGGAGCAGTACAAGAAAAATCTTGACACATTGTTTAAGAGATTTAGTGAGGAGCTGCCTAAAACATGCCTTGTTATGTGGAACATGACACTCCCCATATCAAAGAAAGCAAGGGGCGGAGTTCTGATCCCTGAGGTGGAGCATCTTAACGTCAGCTTGAGACTGGATATTCTAGAGGCAAACTTCTATGTTCATAAGGTAGGCATGATTATTTTCTCATCTTTTAAGAAATAAATGTGAAAGCCTTTGTTGAGTAACATGAATAAAAAATAGATTAATGCTTTTGGTAGTAATTTTCATGCTTTCATTTTGTTAGAACAATGTCTTAGACTTTTAGGGAGTATTGTTTTTAGTCTCTCTGTTGTAACAAAAGTTTAAACTTGACAATAAAACAAAAATTCTTCCACCAACTAAATCAGATCTTAACAGCTGTTTCTACAGGTTAATGTTTTAAAGACTTTACTTTTTATCATTGGCAGTTATTTGCTCATGAATGGCAAATTGTATTTTAAATAAATGTTTCTGCAGACAAACTTTGTTTCTACTGATGCCCAAAATAAAATGATGGCAGTTTTTGTCAATGATTGAAGTAAGGTACAGTAAAACCTCTACTTTTGAAATAATTGAAACACTTGTTAAATGCTCTACTGATGGCCACTTTGTAGAGGTTGCACTGTAGATAAATTAATTTTTTTATCCTGTCACTTGTATCAATTTCGGCCCGATAACAAGGTGCCGTATATTTTTACTGATCTACGGCACTTGATCACGTGGTATGCATGTTTGCCGGACTACTTTTCAAGAAAAATATAAAAACTGTCGTTAAATCTTCTGTGTGTAGAATAACGAATTTTGGAAACGTTGATAAAACTTTGTTTTTTTATTTTATTTCACTCTATAATTTTTCAAGCGAAATAAAAATTAATAAAAGTGAAATAAATGTAAAACTTAACTCGTTTGCGACATTAAAATAGCGTACTTGATTTGACTGTTTTGCACGTGCTGTTTGGCGCTACATTGTGACGTCACGTAAACAATACTTTAAACGTCTGTACAGCGTTAACGACTGAATAAAAGATATTGGTGTTCGAATTCATTTTCTTAGTTAGACCATTTTCTTTCATTCTAGATAGTTTTCACAACAAAATTCGACAAAAAAATTGTTTTTATTTATCACGTTTTTCAAACAAAATGGCGCCCTCAATGTGAAAATACACAGGGAGATAATAAGAACGGCTAGTGCATTGTTGTAGAATAATGCACGCTTCAGGCCTTCTTTGTTTATATAGAAACATTTCCGATAACTTGTGATTAAAGGTAGTTTGTCTAATAAAATTCTTTAAAAAAAAACGGTGACAGGATAAATAGAATAATAGATTGGTGCCGTGGATGGAGAAAGTTATCTGGCTCTGCTCCGGAATTTATTGGGTTCGCCTTCAGCTCACCCAATAAATTCCTCCGCCTCGCCAGATAAACTTTCTCCATCCATGGCACCAACCTATTATTCTCTATATTAGAAATATTGCGAGGTATAAATGAAATTCTTGTAGACAGTCAATAAAACTGTGCTCTTTAAAAATATTTATTTAAAGGGACTGCACTGAGGAGATTTTTTTTGACATGACAGAACTGTGATAGTTTGTCGACATTTAAGTTCCATTTGATGTATGTGTAGACCAATAACATGTGTGCAAAATTCAGATCATTTTGCTCTCTCTGTTATTCCTGAATAATTATTTAAATTTGAAAAATGACCTCAAATTGAAAATCATTGCAACGCTTTGCACAAGAATAGTTGAAATTAAGACTCAGTTTATGCCTTAGTATATTTCATAATTATCTGCATACTTTTTCTGTTTTAACTACCCTTGCTAATCAATGTAAGAAATTCAACTTTATATTTTGGGCCTCAGTGGAGTTCCTTTTAAACAAAAATATCTCTTTGCAGCTTGCAGTAGAATATGGGTTTGATACATTAGATCTTCATTACTATCTGAGGCATCAGTTACAAAGGAGGGCAGGTAAGTTTAGATCTTTATTACTATCTGAGGCATCAGTTACAAAGGAGGGCAGGTAAGTTTAGATCTTCATTACTATCTGAGGCATCAATTACAAAGGAGGGTAGGTAAGTTTAGATCTTCATTATACCCCCGCACAACAAAGTTGTAAGGGGGGTATACTGGAATCAGCTTGTCCGTCCGTCCGTCCGGCTGTCCGTCCGTCCGTCGGTTTTTTCTTGTCCGCCCAATAACTTAAGATTCCTTTGACCCTTAGTCTTCATATTTGGCATGGAGGTTAGTCATGATTAGTAGATGACCCCTATTGATTTTGAGGTCACTAGGTCAAAGGTCAAGGTCACAGGGGCCTTGACTTCAAAAAGCTGGTCCGCCCAATAACTTAAGATTCCTTTGACCCACAGTCTTCATATTTGGCATGGAGATTAATCATGATTAGTAGATGACCCCTATTGATTTTGAGATCACCAGGTCAAAGGTCAAGGTCACAGGGGCCTTGACTTCAAAAAGGTTGTCTGCCCAATAACTTAAGATTCCTTTGACCCACAGTCTTCATATTTGGCATGGTGGCTAGTCATGATAAGTAGATGACCCCTATTGATTTTGAGGTCAAAGGTCAAGGTCACAGGGGCCTTGACTTCAAAAAGCTTGTCCGCCCAATAACTTAAGATTCCTTTGACCCATAGTCTTCATATTTGGCATTGAGGTTAGTCATGATTAGTAGATGACCCCTATTGGCTTTGAGGTCACCAGGTCAAAGGTCAAGATCACCGGGGCCTTGACTTCAAAAAGCTTGTCCGCCCTATAACTTAAGATTCCTTTGACCCACAGTCTTCATATTTGGCATGGAGACTAGTCATGATTAGTAGATGACCCCTATTGTTTTTGAGGTCACCAGGTCAAGGTCACAGGGGCCTTGACTTCAAAAAGCTTGTCCGCCCAATAACTTAAGATTCCTTTGACCCACAGTCTTCATATTTGGCATGGAGTGGGTCAACGGTCAAGGTCACAGGGACCTTGACAAAAAAAAAGCTTTTCTTCTCAATTGCTAAAGAATGTCCTGTGAGACAAAATAGACTTGAATTACTTCACACTCATTTCTGTAGCTTTAAAGCATGAAATGTGGGGCAATTAGTTACCTTGCTAGATTATCAAAAGATTTCTTGCTTATGTAGGGGAGCATCCAAGATCTTCCCTTATCCTGAAAGCTGGAAACATGCTACATGATTTCAATTGTTAGGTGTGATATTAAAGTCTCCACACACACAAAAATGTAAAATACTCTCCAAACTATGTGTAATATTCATACATGTAATGATAACCATTTTCAAGAAAATGAGCAAAGGGGTATAATTTTCAATACCATTGTTCATATGTAAAAATGGTATATTTTAATCTTCTTATAATTTCTATTCTGTTGTGGATAATTTGAAGCACAGATGATACTGTATTATATGTTTTTTGTTTAAAGGTGATGGTGTACATTGGGATATGACGGCTCACAGGAGAATGACAAACCTCATTCTTACACACATGGCCGAGGCATGGGGGGTCAAAACACCGGGGCATGCCAAGAGAGTGCTCCTTCAGGTTAGTGAAATATCATGGTACAGCCTTATCATTTTACTCATTTAAACGAAAATTCAATCACTTTCAGCTGTGTAAAAGTAAAAATTCATGCATTTTTATAATTTCTGAGCTTCATTCTGGCGGCACACTTGCCAGCTTAATTGATCTTACCTCTGCTCATTTGGCTGCTTCAATCTATCAGAAGTCTTTCTAAGGCCACAGTATGATGTCAAGGAAATACCGTATAAGTACTTATTTCTGCGGGCTTAATATTCTGCGATTTTTGTTAAAATAAGGGGTTTTAAATTTCTGCGTATCGTATTTCTGCGGTGTCATCATTTTCGCTATTAATTTGATGCTTTTTATTTCTGCGTTTTAATTAAGATATTTTTACAAAATTAGCCACCACAAACAGACCCCATTTCAAGATTTGTTGATGTAACATGTACGTTACTTCCGTTAAACATGCAGACGACTGATAATGTGTTTCCTCGTTATCATCATTTATCGGTATATGCACGTTAATAAACAAAATTCGTGCAATGACAACAATTTTAATACTGTATTGTGTATGAATATGAAGTGTGAATAATAAACAATGGTAAAATCGCACATAGACACAAGATATTGTACACATACAAAAAGGTATGTTTATAGCACCCGTCAAACTACAACAGTTTTATTTTATTATTAAAAATAATCAAGCTACGAATGAGCGAAAATCATACAAATATGATATTTATTGAAACAAAGAAAACAAGCAAAGTAACATTTTTTTCTAATATTTTATTCACGACGAATACATAAAGAAAAATTCCCATCTACAAAAGCTGATAACGGTACATTGTAATGTAATTATACAATACCGGTAGTTGACGTATTCCGACATACACAAACGGAAAGGCTTAATTCTCTGCGGTTTTTAAATCTGCGGTGTCGTTATGAACCGCAGAAATAAAGTTCCTGCAGAAAAAAGTACTTATACGGTATACCATTCTTTCCCATCAACACCAATGTGAAGTGATATTAGCAATATTGAGTAAATTTGTTGCTCAGCATTTACACCTGTGCTGGCTGTGTAAACTTAAACAAAGTAGAGTAAATTTCTTGCTCAAGAAAGTAAGCTTGTCCATGGACATTTTTTATGTCATTTTGGTCTATTAATAGCAAGCTTAGAATGAATACTGAACATAACCACTTTTTAACAATTATCATTATGTCATGTCTGATTTATGAATTTTGTATGCAAGAATAATTTTACTAGATTGAATGTTCATTTAAATGTTGTTTTTTTTAACAGAGGCAGCCATTGAAAAAGACAGACAACCGTCCAAATAGCTTCAGTCCGAATTTCAATTTTGGACTCGGTAATCAGCGACAGATCACGGATAACATGCCTGCTGTACCTGGTCAGTTCATGGGGAACTACATCAACAACATGGTCGTCAACAACGGACTCGGTAATATGCAGAACAATAGAATGTCCTGTTACCAGACTGACCAAATACCACAATTGATGAACTCAAATTTACTGTCTCAACAGTTTGAACATATGCGTCAACAGAATGCAAACGTCTTCCAGACCAATGACAATTTCAGTCAACAAAGACAAAGTTTTGGCGATTTTGGGAGTCAGATTAGGAACTCAAACTTTAGAGGTATAGATATGACCGGGATGAGGATTCCAGATAGTATGGAGATGTTCAGTCAACCATATGGGAATGAGAATTATGAGCCGGGACTTAGAGGTCATGGTTTTGGGAACCAGCAAGTGAGGGAGAGGAACTTGCCATATAGATCTTCAAAAAGAGGACAAGAAACTGTCAATCCATACTCACATGCTTATTAGTGTGTTTTTCCATTTTGGAAATAGTATTAGAACATGTATAAAGTATGGTGTATATTTTAGTGAAGCTGTAAGCCAAAATCCAATGAGATATGAAAGTGTGTATTTTTTATTCTAGTCAATCTAACAGCTAAACAATAAGTTTAATTGAGTTTGTCCCTTCAGTGAAGGTGATATGACAACATTAGAAATGGCCATAACATTTTCTTTCTATAAGCTGAAGCTTTCATACCTAGAAACAACATAAATATGGACAACAGCATCTTTACATTTTGAATTATGACCTGGACCCGTTTGTGACATTCGATTTTCAACGTCAAATATTTCAATTCCAGTAATTAATCTAACAAATTCATTTCCATTTTCTGATAAGGCCTTTGTGTTTTACCATCCTATATAGGATTCTAGTAAGATTATTCACAATAAGTCTAAATTTATTTTGTGTAATAAGAATTAATAATTTAAAATGGGAATGAATGTTGGGGGGTACTCTCTTCTTGAACAAATTAGGATAGTATTTTATGTTGCCATTTGGTTTGTTCATAAGACTCACTGAAGGTTACACATAGTTTTATCAGTTACTTTGGTATGTAGTTACTTTGCAAAGATAAAGTTATACTTTCTGATCGAGTTTTAAAGTCAATAGGGTGAAGGTCACTGGGGTTAAAAAAAAAGATTTTTGTTTTTATTTAGCTATTGTTTTGGCTACGCCAAAAAGGCTTGAACTTCTGGGACCTTTTTTTTGTCACAGATTTTCTTCTTTATATAAAATATTGTTACTACATGTAGTTGAATGTGCTTTCATTTAGGTTACTTGTAAATTTGTAAATACAAATGTTTTGTTTTTTCCTTTATTGTTTTATATTTTCAGACAAAAGTGAGATTTACCTTTGATCCTTTGTCTTAAAATGTTTCATTTATTGTAAAAGATGTCCTCTTGATATTGCATTTTGTCTTTTGTTTTTTTGCTGTGATACCAAGATGTATCAGAGAGATATAAATCTTATCACACTGTCTGAAACAAGGTGAAATATAAAGTTTTGGTACATGTTTTAAACAGTGAAAGAAAATGCAATATAGAATACCTAAAACATAGAGATGATAAAAAGTATTGTCATCATGTGTCAAGATGTTTTAGTAAACCTGATGTAAAATAGCATCATTTGGTGGATTTTTTTTTAGTAATGAATGTCTTACAATTTCATATGCAGTAAATATCTTCACTCTCATTTGTCTGGTATGATAATTGGTATTTGTATTTTGGTTACACATACAAGTGTAGTTTATTAGACACTTAAGCTACTGAAATTTTGTAATGGATTTGCCTTGGTTTGAATTTGGAATATCCTATTCACAGTTTAGTCTCTTGTGGCAGAGGGGTTGACTTTACATATTGAGGCATCAGGATTGCAGCCACTGTTTAACCTTGCAATTGATCGTAAGAGACAACTAAATGAGTTCAAATTACTGGAGTTTTGTGCATCTCCAGCAGGTGAGGTGGTTTTGACAACTAGTGTTGCTTCAAGTCGTAACACCTGAGGTTAGCCAAAATCATCTTTGGAAACAAATATAAAAATTACAAGAAACAAGAATTCAGTATTAAAGATACAAAATTTTAGCTGCCTACAGGATATACAACAAAACCTGGTCAGATTGCAATGATGTTGTGATCGGCCTGACTCTACATTGGTGTCAAATGTTAAAACACTTTCAGTTCATTTAGGTTAATGGTTTTAGAAGATATTAAGCATTTCGTGTTCTAATTATTTCATTGAGAAAGTGGGAATATAACTAAATTTGTGTACTCTGGTTTATAAATTGTGTAAATATGTTAATACTGTTATTTGTTGTGTTCTATTCTTTCCTTTGATTAATAAGTATTAAGTTTTCTTCCTTTTTATCCATTTTTGGTGCTATTCATATACATGTATGTATAATTATGGTAATAATTTTTAGGGACCAAGAATTGTCATTGTAAACAATAAAGTTATCTTTACTTTAGAAAAATAGCAGTTCTAATCCATGGTTGATTAAGTTGATTTTTTTGAATATGCATGCAAGTATTAGGGCTATTTCTCAAGCTTCTATTAATGGATAATATTCAAACTTCTCACTTGCATTTCAGTACTGACACATACTAAGGGAATTAATTTGTGTAACTCAAAGCTGTGTATAGTTAGAGTTATGGCCCTTGAAAAATTTAAACTTTGCAGTCAGGTTAAAGTTTTATATACAAGTTCTAATCACATAACCACAGAAAGAACTTCATACATGTATTGTTATCATATTGTAGGTCTCTGATCAAAACACCTAAATCAAGCATGGATTTCTCTATATGAAATTAGAAAATTCCTTCTTTAAGAAATGCATGTTATAACTATATCATTAATTATTTCCTTGAAACCTCTGAAGTTTCTTTTTCAAAATGATTGTAGCTTACTGACCAAGACACTAGCATTTACCATTTTCAGCTTACAACAATATTTTTGCTTTGCTCTTGTTTTATAAGAATACATGTAGTTAAACAGGATGTCGTATGATAGCTTATGTTTTTGTAAAAATTAGTTATTCATCTCTTGAGCAAGGCATGTCACTTAAATAAACAACACAAATTGTTTACATTAGAAATTGATAATAATTTATATAACATATTTAGATTTTATTCCATGATTTTGTTGAAATTTTATTTGCCAAATTGAGATTAATATTATTTTGTTATTTTGATAAAGGCCAAAAATTAAATGCATAAAAAATACACTAGAGACTATTCAGTATAATTATGTTGATATTTTTGAAATTATTCTAGTCATTCTAAAAGGTTTAACTGACCTTGACCTTTAAATGACCTTGACTGTCAAGGTCAAATTGTTGAATTTGGTTAAATTGTCCAACTTTTGTTATTTTTGTACAGTTTGATACATATAAACACGTAGTCATTATGTCATTTTTACACTTATTTTTGTACCTTGAAAATGTTCAAAAAGACATTAATATATAGATGCTGTTGATAAAAGCAATGCCACTTATTAGTCACTAATTCAAATTAGTTAAGATCCCTAGTCTCATAAACAAAGTCACAAGTTTAAACAGTATGGCCACTGAAATGTCAAGATTCCCAGTTTTATAAATATAGCAGCAATTTTATATAAAATAAATATAATCACAATTTTATATGAAAAGATCTTTTGCTTCATGAACAAAGTCACAAGTTTAAATAGCATGATTTTGAATAGAACTGAAGTAGATCTTAGTAGGAACTCTAGTTTAATAAATAAGTTTTGTTACAAGATCCTCAGTTTAATAAACAATGTTAAGTACTAAGATTTCCACTTAAATAAACAAAGTTAAGTAGCAAGAATAAACAAAGTTAAGTACATGACTAAGCAAGAACTCCACTTTAATAAACAAAGTTAAGTAGCAAGATCTCCAATTCAATAAACAAAGTTAAGAAGCAAGAATAAACAAAGATAAGTAGCAAGAATAAACAAAGTTAAGTAGCAAGGACCCCAGTTCAGTGAACAAAGTTAAATAGCAAGAACCCCAGATCTGTAAACAAAGTTAAGTAGCAAGACCCCCAGTTTCATTAACAAAGGAGCAAGAAAGAGCAATGTGAATTATTTAAAGGGCGCAGCAATTTGAAAAAATAAATGGGATCGGGTTATAATGGAGAAAGATGTTAAGTAAAAAATGCAAGATCTCCAGTTCCATGAACAAAGCCTCGTAGTAAGATTATGGTCATAGAATTAATAATATAAGGTAGTTTTTTAGTTTAAGGTCTTTTATAATAGAGTTATTATTACTTGTAATAATAAAATGTTAACATGAAACATTTTGAGGTGTAAATATTTTGATCCATTCTGTATTTTAGACATTATTTTTTGTAGTTTAATTTGCAAGTTTACTTGATTACTGTTCTTGTTGTGTCATATAATATTGCTGTGTGGCAACAAAGACATGATATTTTCAGTTAATATTTTGCCAGATCACTTGAGCTAAACTCTCATTGTGAGCTATTGTAATTGCTCTCTGTCTGTTGCTATGTGTTGACAACAATTTCTTGAAACAACTTTTTCTCTGAAACTAATAACTGGATTTTGACCAAACTTCAAAGTGATGACATTTGGCTGGTCCCCTATCAAAGTTGTTTAAATGGTTCAGATGGGTTTTATAAGAAGGTCACCAGGCCTCAAAGAAGAGGTTTTTAAGATTTTAAAAAATCAAAAACATTTCTGTTTTAAAGTACAAGGTTCGGTGCTTGACATGTGGAAATTTTCCTCATACATTGGTTATATACTGTATATATAGTGAAAACTTAAATTTTTTCTTTTCCTAAACCACTGGGGCTAGAGCTTAGATATTTGGCATGACACATTGTCTAGCAGACCTCTACCAAGATTATTGTCATTTGGTATTTGGGCATCAGACATCGTCTAGTTGACCTCTATCAAGATTTTCAAATATTTGTTCTATGGTCAAAATTTGCTCATCACTAATGTGTCAAGGGTTTTTCCTGTATGTATTTAGTAAAAAACTTCTTTTCTGGAACACAAAATGCTGGAATTAAAATATTGGGCCTGCATACTGTAGTGATCTTTTAGGTGAGTTGTTCAAATATAATGCACTAGGGGTTAAAATATGCCACGTTCTTGGGGTCATTAATGTTACATAGACAAGAAAAGAGAGAAAAAATCTATCTTCATTATCTTTTCTGTTGTATTTGTAATACAATATCAGTCTTTCATGTCAGACAGTCCTGTTAACTCTGAAAGTTTACTTGACATTGTTTTAGTTTACATGTCCTCAGGTGAGCGACTTGGAGTCATAGGCCCACCTTGTTTATATTTCTAGTTGTAATAAGTTTGTTCATATGTTCAAAATAAAATGTTGAATTGTTAAATATTTGTTATGAATTTTTATGCACCCCCCCCCCCAGGGCGGCATATTATCTATATTTATCACACACCTGTGCCGATTTTGCGACTCCGTAAATATGGTATTGCACGGCCGTGCATATATTTTGACGTGACGTCATAAGCGTTATACAAACATAGTGTAAAGACGCGCTAAATGTTAGCGTTATACTATAGGCGCGTTAACGAAAAAAGACTCTTATTTCACTTTAAACGGTCTTTATTAGCTCGACTATACGAAGTATATGGAGAGCTGTCCTACTCGCCCCGGCGTCGGCGTCCACGTCCGCGTCCATATTTCAGATTAAAGTTTTGGTGCAGTAAAATATTTTTCACTATAACTTTGTCATTTCTTAAGGTATCAACTTCAAACTTCAAATATATGTTCCTTATCATCAACCACATCTTATGTGACAAGGTTCATAACTCTAGCACCAATATTTTCAGATTTATCTCCCCTTGAACTTAGAATTTTCCTTAAAAAATACTATTTTTTACTGTTATTTCTTTATAAAATGTATTTCTTCAGGGATCAACTTCATACTTCAAAGATATGTTCCTTATCATCAACCACATCCTTCATACTTCAAATATATGTACCTTATCATCATCCACATCTTATGTGACAAGGTTCATAACTCTAGCACCAATATTTTCAGATTTATCTCCCCTTGAACTTAGAATTTTCCTTAAAAAATATTATTTTTTACTGTTACTTATTTATTTCTAAAGGGATCAACTTCATACTTCAAATATATGTACCTTATCATCATCCATATCTTATGTGACAAGGTTCATAACTCTAGCACCAATATTGCAAGAATTACCTCCCCATCAACTTAGATTTTTTTACTAGAAAAATGTTATTTTTTACTATAACTTTTTTAGTTTTAAAGGTATCTACCTCAAACTTCAAATACTTATTTCTTATCATCAATTACATTTTATGTGACAATGTTCATAACTCTTGAATCAATATTTACAGATTTATCTCTCTTTAGAACTTTTCTTTAAGAAATATTATAACTTATTTACTTTTTTTCTTATCATAACACACATGTTGTGTGACAAGGTTCATAACTCTAGCGTGACTATTTCTAGAATTATTTCCCCTTGATCTTGGAATTTATGTTAACAAATGTTATTTTTTTACTATAACTTAATACATTATTATACATAATTGATTTTTCTTTCATAGTTTTGACCTCCTTACTGCGTCCAGTATTTTATTAGTCGAGCTTGGCTGTCTCCTGTGACAGCTCTTGTTTTTGGTATGTGATAAATAGAATATTAAATTCGTGTAAGTTCATTACTGAATTTATTGCACTCGTCGAATAAAATGATATTATGCTCGCCAGAGGCTCGCATAATATAATTTTATTCAACTCGTGCAATAAATTTAGTATTGAACTTACACTCATTCAATATCCTCTATGTATTATTATATATAAAATCTCACCGTCTGTCTGTCCGTGTGTCCCCACTTACACAACATTCGTGTCCGGACTGTAACTTTCTCGTGCATTGTAGGATTTAAAAATAACTTGGCACAAATGTCTACAACATCAAGACGATGCTTCGTGTCGAAGAACCACTCCCTAACTCAAAGGTCAAGGTCACGCTAAGTGGTTGACGGTACACCACTTACACAACAATCCTGTCCGGACTGTAACCTTGTCATGATTTTCTTTTGCAAGATATTACAGCTGCGACGGCTCGTTCGTTATTAATGATTTCGCTGTGAAGGCCCCAGTTGTTGTTAGAAATATATACTTGCTACTTTTGGAAAACTCTTACGGAACATGTAGATTATAAACAAAATTCCCGTGCATTGAATGTTCAACGCATGGTTCATTGCACATCTGTTCATGCCTTAAAATAAATTACAGAGGGGTACCCGAGGTCTACCTCCACCAGTAAAGCTGTAAAGTCGCCATATGAACCATACATTATTGGTGCAACCTTAAACCCATCATAAAGGGAATGTACATCTGTTTGAAATACGTATGTGATGTTATATTTAAACAAAGGTTTAAAGATAACACATCTGTACACATTTAGACATAGTTGATATGGATATCAATTTTTTCTCTACCCAAGTGATTTTGTCTCTAACCAGTGGCTTTTGTCTTATCTTTACCCTAATGCTTTTGACTCTACCCAAGAGCTTTTGTCTTGTCTGTACCCAAGTGATTTTGTCTCTATCCAAATGCCCTCTCCTGTCTTAATTATTTAACGTACGGATTACTTCGGGGTGGGGGGGGGTGTCTTCAATTCTAAATATCGCAATGTCGTCTTTAGCAAAGAAGATACCGGTTAACATATTAACAATTCCACTTCCTTAGACGATGATTTTCAAATGTGAAAATGTTCTATCTCAATAGAAGTACACCTGTTTGCAAGAACTGTAAAGCCTAATAATGTTATGCATTATGTTTATTTCCAAATAAATGTGAAGTAATAATCAAAACATATCAGATCAAATCAAAACATATCAGATCACATGCATAAGATTTAAAAATTGAAGAAAATAAAACAACAATGTACTGATTGCGAGTTTAGAACTTGTCCGCTTTTAAAGTTAAACATTATATCATAATTTTCGTTATCCGAAGTTTGGAGATTGAGGCCGAAAAGTTGCGATTGCTGTTTAAATGATGGGGCTGTCACATCATTCGCGTAATAACATATATATGAGCCGTTCTGGGACAAACAACAAACGAATGGGTTTTGCGCCAGCCATTGGATCCCAGCCAGCCTGCGGGAATACCGCGCAGTCTGATCAAAGGTTTCACACTGCTGTTTTGGCTTCATTTCTCCTACTTGTTTGGGTTTTTTGGCGAACAGAATGGTCATGTCAGAACTGCGCGGACATGCCGCAGGCTGGTCTGGATCCATGCTGGTCGCAAACCCAATATGTTGGTTTTGTCGTGATACGGCTCATATAGAGAAACATGTCATTTAGCATATACTAGGTGGATATGCGTCGCTGAAGATATCACTTGTAATAAGATAAATACAAAAACGTGAAAACACTCATTTATTAACCAAAATATACCATGCATGCTTTCAAGGAAACATATCCCCCCATTTCAAATCCTGTTTTCTAACATAGTGTGTTTTTTTCATGCCTTAACAAGCGTTCATGGTTTTTCTCCATGCCGCAGTATGCCTTATGTGTTTAATTATGTTGAAATAATGGATTAAGTGCATGTTAGATGTTTTACAACTGAAAAAAGTAGCTTTGGCAGTTATGTGTCG